ATAGTACGATAATCCCCGCTTTCTTCACTAACAGGCTGACCCGGGTAATCAATAACTACCCTAGACCCGACCTTCCCGTGGACTGACCACGGCGAGGGCTTTTTGCGTGTCAGAGTGATACCGCTGCCTCTGTCCAGTAACTTATCCCAGGTGAGATAAAACTTAGATCACATTAGGCAAGATAGGAAAAAAACAAGCTTATTCCAGACTCATGATCAACGACACCGTTTCAACATTTGTAGTTTTAAGCAACTCAGTCCCGGAGATCAGACCTGACTGACAAAAGAGAACAGATTCTACACCACGGCGACAGAACAGAACCGAACTTTTACTTGAAGATCCCCAGGCTGTTTGGCAAATGCAACTACTTTTAACTGCCAGGTCCCCGGGGTCGGGGGACTGGCGAGCTATTTTGGACGGGTCTCGTCCCGTCCCGTCCTGTCCCGTCCTGTCCTGTTGTCCCGGGGGCACAGGGGCGCGTGCCAGCCCGGGGTCGCGCCGCCTCGAGCATCTGGCGCTCGGGACGCCGTGTTCCGCGAGACTGGGCCGACATTCCGCTCGTGACAGGGACGGATTAAAACGCCATCAGAAGCATCAACCTCGAGTGACCCCAGGGTTTACTGACAGGGCAGAACCCCCCCTCCTTGAGACGCGCCACCTCGAGTTCAAGGGGGTCGTGTCGTGTCTGAACACAGATACACAGCACCCACATCACAAACACGGAAAAGAAACAACGACAAGAAAGTAAATAAAATGCAAACTATTTCACTGCCACGAAAGACCATAATTGCTTCGATTACGAGAACGTTCCGTTTTTAAGTACAGAATTAGTCTGTCTCCAAACACACGACTGAAGCTGTGCGATCTTCAGTCAGGGGTTATAAGTTATCACCGCCCGTCACATTAGTTACACTGTGATGTTATTGCAGGACTGCCGTCGCTAGTATAACAGAGAGGTCACAGATGCAATAACAGTAACAACATTCTTGGAGATCAAGCCATGCATTGCGGTGCTGGTGGCGACCGTGCCGACTCTGACACGGTCGGACACGGACACGGACACGCACGACAGAGCCCACCGCCGCAGTGCGGGCGGGTTGTAAATATTGTTACCGAGCAGCGAGCGCACGCTGTCGGCGGAGACAGTCGCCGCCGGGCCACCGGCCGATACCGCGTTATCATCCCGACTGGGCAAGACCGGCAGGAGCAGAACCACCTACTTCTCTGGCCGCTGTCAGTGTCCCGTCCACGTCGAACAAGCACAGAACCTTCCTGCCCGGGGGGAGACGGCTGTCTTCTTCCATCCTGATTCCTTAAATAGGAGAGTTAAAATGCACTCATAACGACAACAACAACAACAAAAAAAAAAACTTTTTAAAAAAGAAATACCACGGCAGGCTGTAGGTATGTCCCTTGAAATGAAAGAAAACAACGCGACAGCAGCTGCTCCCTTGCGGGACGTTTAAGAAATGACAGGGCGGTGGCGTGTGAGCTGACAAACACACCCACACCTATTTTTGTTCTGAATCCAACGAGCCCCGTTAACGAGGCTCCTGCACCCCGCCAGCAGCCCGCGAGGTGAATGCGGCCGCCGGGGGCTCTTTCGGCCCGAGCTCGTCAGGACTGGCGGCTCGAGGGGGCGGCCGGCTCCGCCAATGGGAGGCAGGGAGGCGGGGTCACGTGGGGAGGGGGGCCGGGCAGCTCGGAACACGCGGGGAGACACACGTAGCCGCCGCAGAGCCAGAACAGGGAGTGATGACCTTTCACCCAGAGACTGCGAGGCGCTGGTGGTAGGGGGGGGCAGTCAGACCTCTTGCGCGCTGGTGGCTCTCTCGTCTTCCATGCCCGAGCCGGGAAACGCCTCGGCTCCGGCTCGGTTTCCCCCCACGCTGCCTGTCCTGGCTTGCGGGCACGCCGCTGCCCAGACCTTCCCCTCGACGGCAGCAGCGAAGTGTTGTTATGTCGCGCACAGCGGCCGCTCGGGTCCCCGACGCTGTGGCGCTGCTGTTTGGGGTGACTGCGTTAGGCCACTCGGATGCAAGACATGCGCGACGCAGAGCAGACCGTCTGCGAAACCTGTCCGCCCCCGTCCCCGGTGCTCCGCGGTGTGTGACAGGTGCCTGGGCCCCCAGAGCTCTGGAATTGATCCCTCAGGGTATCGGGGAGCCCCCCTCCCCGAGCGCTTTTAAACCCGGACCCCGGACCCACTTCTGCAGAAGGGCTTTCCTATCATCGCTCTGC